AGTGAACCACTTCCTGTTCAGCTTTCACTCACAGGACCGAGCAGGTGTTGTTATTCTCTGTTCTCAGTGTTCACAGGTTCATTTATTGCCTTTAGCTTCATCTCTCTGTTGCTGCATCATTACAATATGGAGAACATGCTGCTGTCATTTATAGCAGAGATGCAGCATTGAAACATGAACACATTCAGGACAAGAGCTTCATTAACACCTTTATTGCACATTTAAAAAAACTACATTATTCAAACAATTCTGAACTGGAAAGATGGGTCAAAGTCTGTAATAGATGGATGAAATAAATGTGTTGGCCAGCTCACAGTGGAGTGTAAATACTGAACAGTCATAAGATCAGTGTGCTTCATGAAGACAAGGAGCTGAAGTTCAACATGATTGTTGTTACTGGAATAGATGAGGAGGACATCAGTGCTGCTCTTCCTCACAGGGATGAAGAAGGAGAGAAGACTCTTCAGCTCAGACAACCTCAGCTCAATGTTCATGTTCTCTGTAGATGTTAGATCAGACTAGATGTTCCCAATGATCCACAAACAGTGAGACAAAGATCTACAAGGTTCTTTCATTCCAGCTGCTGGAGCATTAAACATGAGAGTGAACACAGCAGGATATGACTGTAGACAACAGGAAGTGGGATGTTTTTAACATGTTTCTTAATCTGAAGGAAATGTCTGTTTCCCTGGATGAAGCCAAAGAACATTTTACTGCCTTAGAAGGACATTAAAGTTTATTGTTTCTATTCCAAAGTATGATGATGTGATCAGTAGAGAAAAGGGAAACCAACACTGATGACATGAGCTCCTCAGTCATCTGATAAACACTGTGGTAGAGAAACCGTCTGCTGGACTGGTTGACATTAAATAACTAACTGTGACTGAGCTCTGAGCTTCAGTGTGATGCTCATGTCATGGTGACCAGACCTCAGTAGCTTCACTGCTTCTGGAAGAGAATGAATCATTTCAGCAGATGTTTGTCTCAGTGAAATGACCAGAAGCTGTTAAACCAGAGAACAGAGACATGAGCTGATCAGGGTTCTGTGGTGTAACGGCAGCTTGGTTTAGTTTCTGCTCATCCTTCCTGTCTGCCCAAAGACGGCAGCAGTTCACAGCCTGTAATCACGTTATCGATCCGGTCTGATTGATCAGCTGTGACCTACAGGGAACTAGTCATAGACAACAGGTAGCTCATTATGACGCTGACCGACCTGATGTAGCATCAGCGTTAGCTAGTCAGGAACCGTAACCAGAGGTTTACAGAACAGCTTAAAACACGATGTCACATCCTGTTTCTCCATCAGAGGCTCCAGTCTGATGTTAACTTACAGCAGCTTCAGCTGCAGGAACGCAGGTCGCTGCTTTAGATAGAACATCGTCCAGATGTGGACAGAACACAACCAGGTACTGACACACTTCAACACTCACCTGCAGAGTTTAGCTCCACTTCTGGAGGCTAACGTTGTTAGCAGCAGCAGGTAAACACAGCAGAAACCGGTAAATGTGGGCGGAGACAGTCCTTGGCTCTCACTCCGTCTGACCAATCACTGCGCTCCGGCTCCGCCCCCTCCAACGTTTTTGTCTCGTCACTGGCTCCAAAAATCCAAGATGTCAACCAGGAAGTAGCAAAACCCTGGCTCTGTCCAAAATCACTCCCATCTCCCCTATGCCCTATGTAGGAGCCATATTAGTATTAGATATTCATTCATCAGGTGACAGATTACAGGCAGCATTAGCACCTGGGTGGTAGGTGTGTGTGTGTCACAAGGTTTGAAAAGGTGCACCTACTGATTCACAGAGTTTTTGCTAGGATGAATGGATGAGGAAGTGGGGTGAACCCAGTGGTAGTCATAATTTCTGTTGACCGCAACCGCGTATTACATTTTGTGCAGTCTGTTAGTGTGGCCTACCGCTTTATTCTTTGATTGGATAGGGACTTGAACCTGCTGGATGAAAGGAATGAACGCTATCGCTACTGACAGAAGTACGTTGGAGTAGTTTCTTGGAACGCGTGTCTGACAGATAGCCTTAACCCGAGGTCAGCCCACAGCGGCCCTCAGTTTAGTCCTGTTTTGCCGCACTAGCAACAACAGGATTCAGATAAATTTTAAAATTGTTTACATACAAATATGTAACATTCTCAATTTCTATTATAAGATTTAAAAAAAATTTTTTTTATTTTTTTTTAAATTTAATTGTCTAAATGGTGGGCTGCAAGGTGGCGCAGTTGGTTAGCACTGTTGCCTTGCAGCAAGAAGGTTGCCGGTTCGCGTCCCGGTGGGGACACCGGAATCTTTCTGGAATCTCCATGTTCTCTCCAGGTTCTCCCACAAACATGTTGAGGTTAATTGGTGATTGTAAATTGTCCGTAGGTGTGAATGTGAGTGTGCTTGGTTGTCTGTCTCTAAGTGACTGGCGACCTGTCCAGGGTGTCCCCTGCCTTCACCCTGAGTCAGCTGGGATAGACTCCAGCCCCCCCCATGACCCTAGTGAGGATTAAGCGGTGTATAGATAATGGATGGATGTCTAAAAAATGATCAGCTCATCATCAAGCTCTGCAGAAGCCTGATAACAATCCTGATCTTTTAAATCAGGTGTGTTGGAAGAGAGAAACATCTAAAACATGCAGGACTGTGGCTCTCGAGGACCAGGATTGGAGACCCATACTCTGAACAATCCTTTCCTCTGTGTTGTAGAACAAAACAAAGCCAAAGTGAAATCACCACCTACCAGCTGTGCATCTCTGTCAGCCTCTAAAGTTGAACTTTGTATCCTGTGACATCTGTACTGACTTGATCTTGGACCTTTTGGATATAAAATGCCATCACTTTATCATTTTAACCTGTCAGACACTCATCTGAAAGTGTGACTTCATTAGTGTAGGAATTGTTGAATCATGACCAGAAATGTGTTTTGTGAGCTCACATTGTCGTTGACCTTTGACCCCTAAACAATCATCTAATTAGTTCAAATATGTTTGTAGGAGCGACTGGGAAGAAAACTTCACTCACTGTTGTGTAGCAGTCAGCCACACAGGAAACATTGCACAGATTAAACAACAAAGGGTTTAATGTGTTTACATGTATGACTTTATTTTGCACAGTGAGCCTCTCTGCAGCACAGAGTGTCATCTTCCATCAGTGGTGAGACCACTTTCCTATAAGTCACATGGTTTCAGGGAAACGGAGCCCTCTAACTTTCTCTTTTGTTTTTGCCACTGCTGATTTGCAAAGGATGCTTATGCACAGCTCCTCAGACCAATCACATCAGATCTGTTGCCACGTGGGAAGAACTTGTGAGGGGCAGTTCCCTCCAAGGAGCTCTGTTCTCTATATAAACGCCTGAGTAGAACCGGGAGGACATAAAACGAAGCAGCCTCCATCTGCACAGAGAGGACAGAGCTGAGGAAGTGCACAACAAAACGTGAGTTGGACAACAGCTGTTTATGTGAAGCTCAGCATTTGCAATGATTTTAAAATTTTTTAGCAGACATTGACCATTTTTACAACAACAACAACACAACCTTAATTTTGATTGTGATTTGACCTCTTTAAGTGGTTTGGCTCACTGGGTTCATAGGTGTGATGGAAGATGACACTTTGTGTTGCAGAGAGGCTCCTCTGATTTGTGTGGAAAGTGTTGTTTTGAAGAGTGTGCATGCAATTGTAGTGGTTCTGCATATTTATTCATGGAGTTAATTGAATCAAAGCGTAGATGTGAGTCTTGTGGTTTACAGTAAAAACACTAAATACTGTACATGATGCAGGGAAACGATCCCTCTTTATGAAAATAATGTAACTGTAGGAGTCATATTAGTATTAGATGTTCATTCATCAGGTGACAGGTTACAGGCAGCATCAGCACCTGGGTGGTAGGTGTGTGTGTGTCACAAGGTTTGAAAAGGTGCACCTACTGATTCACAGGGTTTTTGCTAGGATGAATGGATGAGGAAGTGGGGTGAACCCA